ACAGTTAATTCAAGGTAGAATTTAGGCACATTTACATGCGTGATCTTGGATAAGGTTACTTTCCTGAGTCAGGGCCCTCTTCTGTGAGAAAATTCCCCCGGCCAGCTCCTCCTGCGGACTATCGTGACTATTTGAGAGAGCTGAAAGAGCAGGAAGGAACTTGCTCATATTTTGTTCTGGCCCTTGCGCTCTTGGGTCTGTATGGGTTGGACTCATATGGTTGTGTCATTCAATAATACTCTAAAAAATGATGCTGCTGTAAACAAAACTGCACTACTTGATTTGTGTACATTTTAAAAATAACAGACCTCTGAAAACAGAATTGCTATTATTAGCATAACTGTTTTTAACTTGGAAAAGCCACAGATCACGTGTGCTGCTTTCCAGTGAAATGTTTTATTTTTAGGTCTTAACGTTTGCAGGTCTTTGCCACACCTTTTCAAACTGTTTGTATCAATGCCTCAGCGAACGTTTCTGAAAATCTCATTCTGCAATATTGTCTTCTGTAGTGTAGATAGTTTTTTCGCTGTAATTTTCTACATCTCTAGTATTTCTAAGATTTTTTTTTTTTACAATCTGTTGCTTTTTCACATTCAGGTTTTCTTTATAATTAATACCAAAACTACTACTTAAACTGACAAAGGTGGCTTTCTGAGCCAGGTACAATTTCTGTGTGTTTGGCAGCCCTCAGTTATGTCTGTTACCTTGAACCAGTACGGACTGCCATCATCCATGCTTTCCTGTGGCAAGAGGTTCCACATCGTAACCAGGGGCTGTGCCAGAAAAGGTCTCTCTTTATTAGTTTTGAGTTTACTGGCCTCTTCTGTTACCTCCTAGCTCGTGCATTGTACAAGGCAGAGAATGATCAATCTCCTTGTTTTCTCATGCCAGACACAATTTTCAAGTTTTTGAGAACATAATATATAATATTCCAGAACATAAAAGCATTAACAGCAGTGCCTTTTAAGAAACAATAATTTTGTCAGCAATAATTTTTCGCATAAGAAGACCCTGTGCTTCTCTTTGTCATCCCTCCAAATACAACTGTAAACTCCCTCCGAATTAAGTCATTCTGTTTGATCTCGGCCTTTTACACTGTATACTTACTTTAGTATTTTACATTTTATAACCTCTTGCATCTTCCTCGACACAAAACCCTTTGTGGCCATCAGATAAGGAGGACAATCTTAGTTTAACTGAGTATCCCAGAAATAGCTGTGAGTGAAAGTAGAGCCCTAAGCTATAGAGGTGGATTTAGTAAACCTGTGGAAGCATAGACTCTGCTGGAAAGAAAGTGTAGTGAACACTAAGGAACTATATATCTGACTTCACCAAACTAAACAAAATACATTATTAGAGAGCATCTGTCTAAATTTCTACATCTGGAAAAGCCATGCCGATGTTGTAGAAGCCTTTCAGCTCCTCCAGGTGAATGAGTATCCTAAATATTTAATATTCACTTCTATGAGGAATTTGAGGATTGTAATCTAAAACTCAAGCAACAGCATCTCTTATAGGTGTTCCTAAATAATGGGTCCTTCACAGGCTGCTGTGTAAAGCATCAGCATAGGTATATGGGCCTGAAAGAATTAAGAGAGTCCTGGGGGCCAAATCTGGGGGAAGCTGGTCATGCTGATTCTGCAGTGGCTGAAAGAATTGTTTGCCCTTTCCTCCTGCCCTATTTACAGCTGCTGAGATATTTTCCCTTCCTGCATCACCTCTGGGCCTCATTGAACGTCTTCACAAGGGGCTTGCATTACAGCGTACAGCACAAACGTGGGTTTGGTGAACCCTCCCAAGTGTACTTTGATGTCTGCCAGTACTGACACCAGGAGTATTTTGATGAGTGTTAGTTCTGACACTGAGAGTATTTTGATGAGTGCTTGTGCTGACACAAGGTAGATGTAACGCTTGCTGCTGAGGGGACACTGAGGTCTGCTGCTTTCATCCACAACTAGCCATGAACTCACTGTGACTGAGGGGACCCCACCTCCATGGACAGTTGTCCCATGGATGCTCTCCCTTCACAAATTTGTTAGCATCCCTCATTTTGTTGCCTCTGTTGCTTGCACTTAGATACAAAGTCTTTAAAGTCCGGCTTCCATTGACTCATTGACAGTCTGTCTACATTTGAGGTTCTGCCAGCATCTTCTATAGCCTAATTAGCTACCTTTACATGTTGGTGTATAAATGCTGGGGCATTCAGATCCCTGCACAACTCAGATTTTTGCTAGGCTCCAGGAGCTTTCCATTCCCTAGTTATCTCAGGAACCTCTCTGTGCTTCCAGGTAACTGAACTTCTGAAGCAAAGCTGTCCAGTACCTGTTTGCAGTATTTGAGAAGAGGTCTCCTTTGGACATTGGTATTAATCTTACCTCAGTTTGATTGGAAATACATCTTCTTTAATGTATTTAGTTGTGTTTTTCAGGAAGACACCTTATTGATCTGGCAAATCATATTGCCAGAAACAAGTGCAGTCATGTGTCTCTTCTTTATAGACCAGGTCCTCCAAAACAGCATAATAGAAATTCCCTCCAGCCCTTAAGTGCATGAATTTGCTGTTTGTACAATTGAATTTGGTCCTATTTCTAACATCCAGTCCTGAAGATCATCCAGTTCTTTCCTGTGGGAGTTTTTTCAACCTTCTTTCTTCCCCGTGCTTTCCAACTTAGCGTTATCAGCATATTTCATTAGAGCGCTCCTGGGTTTTGTGCCTGGATTATTAATGCCGATATCAAGGTGGCAGTTTGTAGGGCTGGTATGGAAGGACCCACACGACCAACCCTGTCCTGCTTGGGGCTTGCTTTGGGCAGTCACTAGTGCCTACTGAGCAAAAAAGGCCCTGGCCCCGCTGCCTCTTTAGCCAGGGCGAAGCTCTGGAAAGCCCCTGGTGCCCCTCTGCTGTCCTTGCCCTCCCGCAGCAGGTCAGCTCGCCTCTAGCCTGGCTGTCTTGCTTGTTTGAAGGAGAAACATCTAAATTTGCCTCTTCTGCCGAGAAGGTCTGTGCTTGTTGCCTCCTGTTCCATCAGCCAGTGTGCCTGTTGCCATGCTTTCTTTACTGATGCTTCATCTTTTCCAGTTTAATTGCCTATCAGGTAGGACAATATCAAATCTTTACACAGATTTAATAGCAGTAAAATGTTTGCAATCATTGAAAATGTTTAGTGACATTTCTGCTGTAGATTATCTGTTTGCCTAGAAAATAACTTAAGAGGGAGAGGTGTGCTGTGAAGAGACTTGATAAATACAGCATGCATTTAATCACAGAACCACAGAATTTTCATGGTTGGAAAGGACCTCTGAGATCACCGAGTCCAACCACACACACACAAAAGATCCCCGCAATCTCGGGCACTAGAGCATGCCCTGAAGTGCCACGTCTACACCTTTCTGAAATCCCTCCAGGGATGGTGACTCCACCACCTCCCTGGGCAGGCCCTTCCAGGGCCTGACCACCCTCTCAGGAAAGTCATTCTTCCTCAGATCTCATCTAAACCTCCCCTGCCCCAACTTCAGACCATTTCCTCTGCTCCTGTCATGATTCCCTTGGGAGAAGAGGCCAACCCCCACCTCTCTACAGCCTCCTTTCAGGGAGTTGGAGAGGGCAAGGAGGTCTCCCCTCAGCCTCCTTTTCTCCAAACTGAACATGCCCAGCTCCCTCAGCCTCTCCTCGTGTGACTTGTTCTCCAGACCCCTCACCAGCTTGGTGGCTCTCCTCTGGACATGCTCCAGCACTTAACAGTGTAGTGCAGCTCCTGCAGCTGATGGCTTTGCCTACTGTGGTGGTTTGAGGAACCCACAACAATTTATTGTCATTTAGACAATTATTCTATCACCTGATGACACCTCCCCACCCAGGAATGGGGATTGGGAAAAACAAGGAAACCCAAAGGTTGGAATATAAACAGATTTAATAGAATAAGACTAAAGAGTTAACATTAATTATACTAAAGAACCAATATGGGTTCCGATACCAATATAAAATATACGAGGATTATGTTCAGCACATTATACCAGTAGGAAACTGTGCACTTCCAGCAGCAGACAGAAAATGTTGGACACTGTGAGCCCTAGAGCTTCACAAGGAAGGGAAGGGCTCAGGAGTCCGGCACAGGGGCAAGAAGTTCTAAGGATCGCAGCCATCAAGGAAGAGAGGGAACTCCTCAAAAAACTTTGTAATTTATATTGAATGTGATGTTCCTGGTATGAAATAGCCCTGTTGGCCAGGTTGGGTCAAGTGTGCAGGTCTCGGTCCTTCTCGTCCCTACACCTGGCTAGCTCAAACCCACTGAGAACTTGAAACCCACATACCATATATCCAGCTGGCTATAAAGTAAATATTTTCACAGATTCAGACACTAGAGTCTTCTAACAGTGCAGTTTTCCCAAGCGTTAGAGGAGGCCTTACTGAAAAGTAAAATTACTGAAGGTTTTCCCAAGCGTTAGAGGAGACCTTACTGAAAAGTAAAATTACTGAAGGAGAAATTAGTGCTGTGTCACTGGAAGCAGGACATTTGCCCACTTACATTGGTGAGCTCACCATATTGGTGTTACAAGGGCATTTAATTACAGTGCCCTTAGGAGTGTGCCGGAGGCAGCTGCTGTTTTCCCTCAGATACAGACTGATGCAGGAGTGACTCCAACTGGTTTTTCCTCCTTCTGCTTTTTCCTTTTTTTTTAAAGTTCACCTGACTTCCTTACTGTTTGCTTTTAGCAGCACATAGAAAAGTCCTTTGAATTGAAATCATTATCAGTAGACGGTTTTGAACCTTCCGTGAAGAAAACCCCCCTCCCTTTTCCTTGTCCTACCTTCTGGTATTAAAAATGAATGGTATCCCATGCAACGTGTAACTCCATTGGAGGTGGCTGTTTCAGTGATTTTTATGAATGTTTTAGGAAAAGTATCCTGCAGGTTTTGCCCTTTTCAAATGTAAATGTTTAATCAGTGCTTGCTGAGAGGGAGTGTGAGGCTTACGGTTCTTTTTTGCTTCTTCTTGCAGTGACCTGCTGTCTTCTGAATATCTTGAGAGGCATATCGAGCAAGGTGGGAAGACAGTGGAAGTTAAAGTAAGAATTTCCTTTTTATGGTTTGCTTTTTAAATTTACTTTGCTTTTGACGTTAATGCGAATTCCGCAATTTCATGAGATGTACACGATTTTACAGGTGATTTGTTTTACTTTTCTCAGGCAAGCATGTTTCATCTTCTAACTTTTCAGCTTTTTAAATACAAATGAAATGTATTGGCAAATTTAGTACATTAATGTTTGTATCAAAAATGGTATCCATGAAAATGTATACATGGTAGTTCTTTTTACTTGTAAAAATAATTTACTTTTGATGCCTATTGATGAAATGGTTTGGTAGCTGGCATTTCCTGTTTGCACTAAACCCCAAGTTTGTGGTTTCTAATGAGCTTCTTTCTAAGTTTTAGAATAGCAAGATTTATTGTATGATATTTCCTAATAATATATCTAGTCACAGTCTCACATTGTGGATTTCTTTCTCTGGATGCTCATTGGCGTGATGGCTACAAGATCCTGTTTGTTGCAGTTGTCTCCTGTGAAATGTCCCGCTGCCTTTGCAGGAGTGTTTTGCTATTTGCATGCAACGTGGGAATTTTCTTGAGGACCTTCTCTTTGTTAGGACAATATCTTTTAGACATCAGGTATAAAATTGCTGCAGGTTACATAAAATGGGCATGAATGTAATATATGCTGTGCATAATTGAAACTCTTTAAATTTGCCTATCAGGTCAAATGTTATTCAAAGTTTACATTTTATTAAAAAGTCTCTTACGAAGTCCGAGATCACCTAAATACCCTGAAACAAATGCGTTGACCTCTGCAGTGTGCAAGTGGACAAAGCAAGCCTTTAGCCACTGAGTAGCTGAAGATACACGTTTCCTTTGGTTTATCTCTTTCTAGCATTTGCAAATTTGAAATCTGCTTTCTTTTTACTCCCTGACAATAGTTTGCATACATTATCAGACTGAGGCAAACACATACGTGTTCCATTAAATTGTGAAGACTAATTTCTCAGTCAGCCGTGCTATGCAGTCAAGAAGTCTTGACTCAGATTCAGAATATGAGTCAAAGCAGAAATAAAGATAATAGCTGATATTAGTAAGAACATAGCAATCCATTTGTCTATGTCAAGGTATATATGCAAGTTAGCTGAGTCTATCTGAGTCCCATCACTGAATGAGGACAGATCTGTTTCTGATGAGTAAGCCTTAATCAAGCAAGGAAGTGTTTGAAATCAGTGGCTCTTCTCATGTAAGGACTGTTTAATTGCATGGGGAAGAGACGGGAGGATTGAGCCTTTCAGAGGAAGAATCATAAAATGTTTTCTGGGAAGAACATGTCCCAGTCTCCATGGTCCCAGAGATTATTTCCTCCTCAGTTGGCTGCCGTGCAGGGTCACAGAATCACAGAATATTCGTGGTTGGAAGGGACCTTTGAGATCATGGAGTCCAACCACAAAAAAAAGGAAAAAAACCACAAAATCCAAAACCACACCACACCCACCCACAAACAGATACAAACCAACAATCCCAGGCACTAGAGCATGCCCTGAAGTGCCACGTCTACACCTTTCTGAAATCCCTCCAGGGATGGTGACTCCACCACCTCCCTGGGCAGGCCCTTCCAGGGCCTGACCACCCTCTCAGCAAAGTCATTCTTCCTCAGATCTCATCTAAACCTCCCCTGCCCCAACTTCAGACCATTTCCTCTGCTCCTGTCATTATTCCCTTGGGAGAAGAGGCCAACCCCCACCTCTCTCCACCCTCCTTTCAGGGAGTTGGAGAGGGCAAGGAGGTCTCCCCTCAGCCTCCTCTTCTCCAAACTCAACATGCCCAGTTCCCTCAGCCTCTCCTTGTGTGACTTGTTCTCCAGACCCCTCCCCAGCTTGGTGGCTCTCCTCTGGACACGCTCCAGTACCTCAATGTCTGTTTTATGGTGAGGGGCCCAGAACTGAACCCAGCCCTCAAGGTGGGGCCTCACCAGTGCCCAGTCCAGAGGCACCATCACTGCCCTGCTCCTGCTGGCCACGCTGTTCCTGACACAGGCCAGGATGCTGTTGGCCTTCTTGGCCACCTGGGCACACTGCTGGCTCCTGTTCAGCTGACAGTCCACCAACACCCCCAGGTCCTTTTCTGGCAGGCAGCTTTCCAGGGTCATGGTGTACCTTCAGGGATGGCTATCACTGCCTTGCTTAGTACTCTCAAATCTGCTCTAAGTAGAGAACTACCATTGCTGCATGGACGTTCCTGCTTGAGATGAACTGAATTGGAAGTGAAAGGATTGCGAGGTTCCCCTGCAAAGGAGGACTGTGCTGCTTGAGCGGCGTGTCTCCCTCTCCATGCTGCAGGCAGGGGTGCAGGGGTGGCTGGGGCAGGTAGTGGAGGCTTTTCTGCTCCCTCCTCACCCACCGCTCCAGGAGTTCCGCAGGCAGCAGTCCCACGGAAGCATGCCAGGGAGAAGGATGGATATTTTTCACTTGTTTTGCTGCATCCGAGTGTGTGGGATCGGAGGAGAGGGAAGCAGCTGCTGTGACAAAATGTCCAGAAGAGCCCCTTGGCTGCAGTCATGGGCACATGTTCAGAAAAGTTCAAATATCAAAAGATTTTTGGAAGAGTGCAGGCTGCTGAGTACATTTTGATGCCAGACACCGAGTGAGGCTAATTTCAGTACCCAGTAGCTGTTTAAAAATAAACTTGGTTCCTTTTGACCAGCCAGTATTTTTCAGAGCTGCTGTAAGTGACCTGGAGAGCCCTGTTCATCCATCGAACAATTTCTGAAAAGTCCAGCAGTATTTTTTTTTCATTTGAGAAACTGCGCTCTGGTTTTGCATCAAATGTTTTGAAAAGCTTACTGCAAATACAAGAATTTTTCATTATGATGACTTAGTACCTTCAATTTCTGTGGAAACTGCTTACCATAACTGCTAAAACCACCTTTAAGTTGATGCTTACAATACACACCCAGCAAAACATAATTATTATACTATATTTTAGGGTTGTGTGGATTGGTTAGGTACTTATTTAAAAAATAGCTGCTAAAAGGGTGCAACTCACAAATAAATCACAAAATATGCACTCCGCTGTGCAGCATGTTCTTAAGCAGAAGTGGGAGAAGAGGTATTTCAGGTTTCTATCAGCTGCTTCAGCATGCTGTGCTTCCCCCACCTCTGTGCAGTTTGTCTTCGGCTGTGGGCAGGCAGAGAGGCGGCCTGGCAGCATCTCCTGCTGCTTCGGTGGGAGAGACAGTGACAGAAAGAAAATGTCCATCTGCCATCCACTGCCAGCTGTAGGCTTTGAGCCAGCCTATTTATACAGCAAAAGGGCCTACTCTATTCTTGGCCGCCTTAGTGACTGTTGCACCCCACTATCAGGAGGGAGTTGGGGGTGACTCAGTTTCGTAAATCCCCAGTGGCACGGACTAAGGTGAGATAAATCTCAAGGTCTGTATACAAACACGGAATCAGGGAATTGTCAGAGTTGGAAGGGACCTCTAGAGCCCATCCAGTCCAACTCCCCTGCCAAAGCAGGGCTGCCCAGAGCACATCACTCAGGAGCATCCAGGTGGGGCTTGAAGATCTCCAGAGAAGGGGACTCCACACCCTCCCTGGGCAGCCTGTCCCAGGGCTCTGCCACC